AAACCAGAGGGGGCTGATCTGTTGCACTGCAGGCCAGGGAGAAAAACCAACGCACCTCAGTGAGTTCACTCTGATCTGATTCGACCTGCTGGAGCCTCATTGAGGTTTCTCTCTCTCTCTCTCTCTCTCTTTAGCAAGAAGCACAAACTACTGTATAAAAGGACATCATTACTGTTAGGGTGTTGGAGGGGAAAATACCTTCTCACCGCTTAAATTATTTTCTCACCTGTTTCCTAACTTTCACTGTCGACTCCATGGAAACGCTGTATGAGTCCACTCTTTCACTGTAAATGAAACCGGCGCTACTTTCACATTTCGCATCACTCCGCGGACTCGCTTTCTGCCGTTTCATACAAACAAAACTGCCCCTATTTTGGTATCTTAATTATCGATTGTAATGAAAGCACAGAGCACTAACATAATTATTTTTGTAATATAATTCGTGCTAAAAGCGCATATATATATATATATATATATATGTTTCCTAAAGAAATTTAGCTGGTATGCATGATCACACAGACTGTGAACAAATATTGTAGAGTTACATAATGAATATGTAATTCTGTTAATGAACAAAGAGGGCGTGCTGTATTGTCAACAACGGTCTTTGTCTCCCTCTGTAGTTCATACAGTGTAAATGCAGTTGACTCATGTAGACGTTTTTCATAGGTAATAATTAACCTTTTGGGATCTCCTTTTTGTTTTGGTGTACCCTATTTGGGGATTTAAAACTCACATTACTTTCAGTTTATTCACATTTAATTAATAGTTTAGAACAGTTAAGATAAAATCAACTTCTTGTCATGCATGACAGATACAGACCTCATTCTTAACATACTGTGGCCCCAAGAAGTGGGCTATTTTATATTTATTTCTCTCAGAACTACAATTTTCTAGCCATTTTTCAACCAACTGATGTGACCTTGATGTGAATGTAAATCTCATTAACTAAGAATGTGTTCTACTGTTAAAAAAATGACTTAAATTGTATTGCAATTTAAATGTTGTTACATTTTGCACAACGCAGACAGTAACGCCACAGACAAATCTAGACTTTCATAAAGTAGGGACAGCCATCATGATAGTTCAAGATGCAACATTGTTTTTTGTTACACATGAAATTTCTCTTAACCAAATGAAGGTTAACTCAATGAACCCTCTGGTTCTCTTCGGTCATTATTTGACTAAAAATATCATAAAAATAACATAGCAACCTCAAATTTGGAACACAACTTGTTTAGATTTATGGTTTTGATTTTCCTCACAGATTTAGAGTTAAACGTTTTGGAAAATATAAATTTCATATAAAATTTTAACATTTCATAACAATGAACCTAAACTTCTATAACTTTTTAAAATTTCACTTTTTTCTTTTATGCAATTGTGTTCCATTAGTAATCTGCCAAGTGTCTTCTATAAAAAGAGAATTCAATTCAATTAAAAAATCTATTTTTGTTAAAGTTTTTATTTTTATTTTTTTATTTTAGTACATCAAGCTAAAATAAATAAGAAATGTTTTCATTGGCAACTAGCTAAAATAAAATAACTTTTAAGTTTTTATATATATTATTTCAGTTAACATTTCATTTCAAGTAATGAAAATGTTTTATATGGTTTTAGTTAATAACCCTGTGTCGACATACTCATGGGCATTTTATAAACTGACAACTGCAGACATATTTCTGCTATGAGTTATTTTACCACAAGAGTGCAATGCTTTTATTTTGAGTACGACAAACAATAGGCTACCACTAAAAACATTGTGGGTAATCGACTTCTCTCACGATGATCTGTAGTGTTAAACAACACATTTATTGGATCTACAGCGACAGCTTTTTTCCCCCCTGTAAGATCATAGTCTTAGAATATCACTCTCAGGGAAAAAACATCCAATAGACTCATTCCACACATACAAAGACCAAGTCCTGTCATATGTTTTGGCCTCGGGGCTGACATTTGTAAAGTGGTCCCTAGAAAAAACATCTGAAAACAAAGGTGCTGCGGGTGTCTCTTACCTCGCTCAGCGTTGTACACTTGATCCTGCCTGTGTCAACGCCATTTGATGTGTCCTTCTGGGGCTCCTTATGACAATATGCAGGAGAGTTGCTTCTCAGTGTGCTCCTCTTCAATTAAAAAGGACTGTTTGTTTTGTCTGGTAATTGCCTCTCAAAGTTCAGAGATTTGGGACAGAAGAAAGGCAAATAGAGTCCCGCTGATTAAAGTGCTCTCAGAACATTCCTTACAAAGCGTGAGTCCCTACTGAACTCATTTTAAGACACGGTACGGTGGAATGTATTTTCAACTCAGAGATCTGTAAGATTAAATAATGGCAGAGAATAAGAAAGAGGCAGAAAACTATTTCTTAGAAATTGAGAAGATCTATCATGGCCAAAAACCAGAGGGGGCTGATCTGTTGCACTGCAGGCCAGGGAGAAAAACCAACGCACCTCAGTGAGTTCACTCTGATCTGATTCGACCTGCTGGAGCCTCATTGAGGTTT